AGACAGACTTCCCTTGCAGCTTGTGCCAACTGGGCATTGGCAGTTGTGAGTCCGTTCCGAGGGGCTTGGAGCACAACATTTCGGTCATCTGCCGTTGATGTTTTTTTCTGGGTCTTCCAGAGCGAGGTCTGTCCTGTACTCTACCAGTGGCCTGGAACCTGTCCCTCAGTCTGTGAATGACAGAGGGAGACACCTGAAGACGGCGAGCAACACTTCTTTTGGATTCACCATCCTGTAACCATGCAGTGGCCCTGCTTCTGTCGTGGGCACTTAACCGTCTGCGCTATGACATGGTGAAGAAGCTGTGAGGCTTCAATATTGTCTGTAGCTTCTTTTAAAGGAAACGTTGCCACAAGCTGCATGGGAAGTCAGTCTTGCATATGCACTGGGCTGTTGTGTTTGGTGTTGGAGTGTTTCAGCACCCTCGTTTTTCGCTGTTTTTTGACAATGTTTCATTTCACTCAAACTCAACGAATATTGAATCAGTTGCTTCACTGCATGTTCCCACATGTCATTTAAAGTACCCTTTCAGCACACAAAAAGTTGCATTTACCTCAGAGTATGAATGACCTCACCACGTTTAAGTTTATATATTTCTATCAAATTTTAGGATGCTCCCATATTCTTTGTTTGTAGTATATAATATTACTACATAGCTTTGCCTGTGGAATGAACTATGACTTGTCATGCTGTTCTGACCGCCATTGGGGTCAGTCTACACGACCTTCATACCGAATATGGACTTTCAACCGGAAATGACCTTTGTACAGATCTGGTATACAACATCCATTCGTGTAATATATTTTGACTATATGAGGGCAGGAGGGGGAGAGACAGAGAGGGCATGCGGCTGAAGGGAAATATGTGGTCAGCCATGTTGATCCCTGTGTAGTCTTTGTAATCGGTCAAAATGTCTCTATCTCTTTCTTTTGTTCAGGGAGAGCAGCCTGAATTGGAATTATGTACAAAAGCGAGATTTTTAAAATAATTGAGTATAATCATGGGTTTGAACTAGAAGAAATACCTTCTACTGCATACCAACGACTACCCTGGAAGATGGAGCAAATTACCCGTTGCCATTTCAGCCATTTCACTACGCACGTTTGCGTCGAGAATAGTTGTGCCATTCACCAATTACGCACTTCCTAACAAAACAATACAAGCTCTTGAGTCCTTCAAATCCTTTGGGTCCTTCTGTCCATTTGGGGTATTCAACTGAGATGAGCAACTAACAGTCTAAAAACAGATGTCAAAAACTCTCTTGAACGTATGGTATGCCGAAACACATATGACACTGGAACACTACCCTTAGAAACACAATGAGTATTTTCTCCGTGCACTGTCATCATTTGTTCAAAGGAAACAACCCGAATCGGGAAAACGTTCAATGCACAACATGTATTATAATAAAATTTCTGGAACATTGCGTTTCTTTTCACGCTTTGAATGGGACTTAAAGAAATGAAAAGTATAACATCAATATAATTTGAAACCGATTGTGGTTTTGTGTATCAAGACCTTTTATATAGCGTGTGTTAAATAGCTTTCTAACTTATTGTATATAGAGTATAAACGTACCAAAGAAAACCAACTAAAAGACCATTGACAGTGTTTCCTGGAAATATGTATTCTACTTGCGTGAAAGGAATATTTTGAGGATTAAAGTTCACTGGAATAAACTGTTTTTATATCATGCAGTTTCGAGTTCTGAACAACCAAATACATGTTTCTGTCACGAACACAACCAACATTACATGCCTGCTCTATTCCCCCGAAATACACAAAAACAAAACCGCTTACTTATTTCGCTTGGCAAGATCATTATTTCAGAATAAGAACTGTTTTCATCTATTTTCTACTGACAATGAAAAAGCCAAATGAGTTTAACTAGACGGTTAGATTACGTTTTTAATATGCAAGAACGTCTACAGAAGAAATGCTATCAACCTTGAGTGAAAAGAGTATTTAGCTAAAATATATCCTTGAATTAATATTTAAAATTCCACGATCGTTTTATTACTGACTCAATATAGTCGACTTTGTTGCAATGAATATAGACCTTCGTGGGAAAGCAATGAGTATTTTCTGGTCCTGGTCCATAACCTAATCTCTACGATACCATTACATCTTTCCATGGCCATTGGTTCCTTAATGACTCTTTTCAAATTCAATTGGTAAAGAAGTACGTGTGTTTAGGATCATTTGCAGGTCACCAGCAAATGTCTATAATGACTCAATTTCTTACTGTTGTTACTATAAATTGAACCTACATAAATACTCGCAAGGGAATTAAGCATCTTCATCCTGGCACACACACGCAAGTGAAGGTTTATCATGTAACAGTCATGAAAACAGAAATTAAGTCACTAAATCAATCCACTGTCTTAATTTCCCTCAGACAAAATCCTTCAATGCAGTAATGAATGATTTAAATTTCTTTCAGGAAGAAATAGATGTACTGATGAGATTGGACCAAAATACGACCGCCCCATAATACGTTTATTGTTAGTATTTTGTATAGGGAAAAACCACAGCAAATGTACAGGACGGGACATTATATAGGCGACTAGTGTCGTACATTGTCACTACTCTTATTAAGTTTCATCGAAATGGTTTGTAAAATTCAATGAAGCCAGAAAACAGGGAGAGCCTCATGTCCACCAAAGTGACCGATGCTTGTAATGACCATCTGTGCCTGACATAATAAAATCAAGTATACTGAGCATACTACTACGTCTGAGTAGTTAACTGCTTTTTTCTTTAAATGAAGGCAGAGCAAAGTCCCAAATTGACACACAGAAGGAAGCAAGCTACAAAGAATTTATTTCTTGAAGAAATGTCTGGCAGAATGTCTATAACATATTGTTCTCATGCTATCATACAGCAGGTTGTATCCAGTTTTGAATTGAATATTATAGTGTAACGACTGTATACAGTGCTATATACATAGTGAGTTTAAATTTCTATGTAATCAATGATTTTGTTTCGACAGCTTCGTCAGCGTGTCAGAGAATGCACAACCGCTAAGGCATTCGCGCTTTATTAACACAGAAAACTGTTTTAAAATGCGGATCTACTTGCGTCATGCTGTTCACTGTTTTAACCTGCAGACAGACAGGGTCATTTAAATCTGTGATTAATGGCTCAAATTGTCATTCATCAAAGCAACATTTATCTACATGCTTTTACGGTTTCTAATTAACAGGCTGATATAACCACCGTTTAAAGACATAAATCGTTTTACCAGCACGTCGTTCATCTATGACAACATGTAGCGCCTCCATTATTGTAAAACATGGCGTGCATCTGTTTCTTTTGGTTGATTAGTAACTCCGCAGTTAAAACACAGGGATCAATACGAGGCAGACGCAGTGCCGTCTAGTAAGACGCAATTGTAAGATATATTGACACCATCACGGCATGTTTGCTTGAAACACTTTTCTATCGTGTTTTGTTAAACGTATCATCAATCTCATTTTTAACATAGTTCAAGATACTGCTGCAACTTCACAGGAAATTCATTCTTTTCAGGTTGATAACATTCTTTTGGATTTTTTTATTCGAATCATCTGTTTCATGTTTAGATCTATACATAAATATTGAGTGTGACAAAAACTATCCTGAATAAGGATTGCCGAGAATGATGATTCCAAATTTCTGAATAGCCAGCTTTGATTTACCTCGAGCAGTATTCCAGCTGCTACTTTGGCATCTGCATTTTACATTCTTGAGGTACGGAAAAGGGAGACCCGTGAAGATCCTGGTTAGAAAAATAGGGCTTCAGCAACTCATGGTTGTCGTAAGAGTCGACTTACCGGATCGGATGGTCAGACTCACTGACTTGGTTGACACATGTCATCGTATGACAATTGTGTAAATCGATGTTCATGGTTTCAATCACTGGATTATCTGGCCCAGACTCGATTTATTAGGAGACCGCTGGAATTTTGCTTAGTGCGGCGTTAAACAACAAACAATCATACAGAAAAGAAAGAGTTTTACTCGACGCTTGTCCATAGCCATATTCCGTTTGATTAAGTGTAGGTGATGTCCAAATTTGACGCATTAGCGAAAAAGATACAATCCGACACAATATCATTCATTTGCTCTTTGACAAGGACCTTACTATAATTATATTCCCGTGTTTTGTACAGGTGAATAATTTACTTACCTTGAGACAGCTGAGACAGTATGAGAACACCCTGTGTCATCACAATTTAATAGTAAATCAAAGACACAACATATAGAAATTACTTATGACTATGAAAATGGTTTTGTTACTATTAATTATGTTAATACATGTAAGGAAAATGGAAGCCTGCATCTCCGATGTTAAGGTCTGTGTGTCTAGGAACTGATTGATGATAAGACCGACTCCTTTGTCATCTGGCTGTCCTCCAGACATCACAAGCCTCACACACAGTATCTTTCAGTTGGAAAGCAGACATTCCATTGTGACCAATCATCAAAGACTTCGGTGTTTTCTATGAAATATCATCTCAGCTACTTATAGTGTAGTTGTTGCTACCATTTGAAGGACATTGGAACCATACGCCACTGTCTGACCGTAGATGCCAAAGCAACACTATAGAAAACATTACTAGTCAAGGCTATCCCGTTGTAACAATCTGCAAATGGGATGACATGAAGATAAGGTAAGCAGGTTCTAAAAGATTTTAAACACTGCGGCAAGGACTGTGACACATATCCAAAGTGTTACGATCCCCCAATTCCTGCCTCTTGCAAAGAGTAGTATGCATTCACGTGAAGTTGCTAACCCTCACGTACAATTATGTAAGTTGTACCCAGTCAACTTAGTCTCTATGACATACATTTGCGCCAGCCATCAAGGGTCCAGCGATTAGGTGACACACTTCAGATTGTTCCCATATGGAAATGTGAATCCCTTGGTTCCCGAGCTCTTCCTTGATGCATTCAGAACAGCCTCATCGCATCATTATTTTGATATCTCAGCCACTTACTTTTGATGTACAATATACATGTGTATTGACCTGCGCATGTCTTGTTGCGCTTTATAAGAAAACGCGTTATTGCCATATTACCCACAATCAAAACATAAAATATAAAGATAAATCCTTGATCATTACTAAAACTGTTGTTGGCATCCGTTCGTAAGTGATGACCATGAATTTGATCCCACTTGTCTGCCCTGCTAGAACACCTGTGGTTAAAGATGCGCGAATAGCAGTCTCTGTCACACAAGTCGCACCTGTGGATTGTCTGTGCGTTGTCTGCGCTGCAGCGTTCTTTTCTACGGGTCCGTTTGTCTTCTGCTACGCTTATCAGTTTCTCCTCTCATGCCATCAGTTGTTTAGTCAGGGTGCTTCTCCATCATGAACGGTCATCAGCAAGGTCCTCCCATTGTTCCATGTTCACTAAAACTATAATTTATAAATGTAATCAGCCTATCTTGTATGCATACTTATTCCGGAATGTTCTTTCATTGTTTCTTTTAATTATCTGTAGACATTATCTTCAAAATATTGTTTTCTCCACAATATGAGAGTGAGTGAGTTTTTTCTTTCGCACTCAGCAATATTCCAGCTATATGGTGGCGGTCTGTAAATAATCAAATCTGGACCACAAAATCCAGTGATCAACAACATGAGCATCGATCTACGCAATTTGGGAACCGATGACATGTGTCAACCAAGTCAGCGAGCCTGACCACCCGATCACGTTAATCGCCTCTTACGACAAGCATGGGTTACTGAAGATCAATTCTAGCCCGGATCTTCAACGGTCCCACAATATGAGAACAGATTATAACGTCAAATAGAATGTAAAGTGGACGCAATTCGTTCCCACAAAATATTGTATGTGTATTCGCCACTGTATTAGACACAGCAGTGTTTCAGAGCTTACTAAATACAATTAGAAGTATTTCCAAACTGGAATACGTTTTCCACAATTCCAGTCATTGTTTCCGAAAGGATTACAAGGCGATGACGACAGGGTTGACTTAGCAAGGCTTTCATTTTCATTATTCTCAAGTGTCAATGCCACGTACCTTTATGAACGAGGCGATCAGCAACGAATGATAATTAGGGATGAAACCTTGGGACGACATGTCCAACAACAGTGTGGTTTTGATTTTAGTGTGTAGTTTCAATGTGCTGTTACATTTGTGGTTTTGATGTCATTCCAATTGAAGACCGCACTAGGTTAATGGGAGATAGTAACTCTGAACTCGTATTTACGTATGTAAATGAACCTAATTTATAAAGGAATCCCCCATATCTAACAATTTCGGTTAATGGGTATTGATAGGCAATGTAATAACATGGCTGTACCCTAATACAAGCCCATGGTCAGATACAGGAGTGAGTGATTCATTCGGCTATATCAGAAGCCCTTAATAATTCTGAACCAGTGGTTCACTCTGCATTGCAGTGTACTAAATAAGCCAAAATACCAAAAGGTGAAACTTCTCATGAGCGTTGTGGATTTACAATGATCTCAGACACATTCTCTGTTTTGACTTTTATCATGATATCCTTCTAATGAACGTGTTTTTGACGGGTGACTCCTCTTCGCAAAACACGATATCAACACTACCTCATTTGATCGGAATCCTGCATTGGACTAATCACCTTTGGCAAAGATTTCATAAAATTATGACAACTATTTGTCTCATTTATTTAAACTTTCACCAAACTATTCTTGAACATCAACTCCAGACTCGATTATTTACAGACCGCCGCCATATAGCTGGAATATTGCTGGGGGTGGCGTAAAACTAAACTCACCCACTCACTCACTTGAACATCAGCCACTGCTGACCAAGAAACAGTCATTTGATATTTTATGAGATTCATTCCTACCCTCATAAGAAACTATGTATCTTTCTTACTCCCAATGAGTCTACTTTTTGCCTCTTAGTGATTCTTTTTGTTCTGCAAAAAAGAAAGACATGGTGAAAGAAAGCAGCTGTCTATCCAGAGGGTTCCATCAACAAGACAACTGGCTTGTCCTGTGACAACTGCGATGTACGGAAAGGGAGCCCTAATATACATTACACGTTCTTATAAAAAAACGTAGAGGTGATGGATCAGGTGAGTGAGCTTCTTGTGTATCGTAAGTGATCTAAAGAAAAGAAAGTGATTAATGAGGTCAATGTTAAAAAATACCAATCTGTGACGGGAACTCGTGTCTGAGAGAAGAGAGAAATCGATTAAGACGCATTGTTCAGGTTGTAAAAACTGACAACTGAAGAACATCACGAAAAAGGGGGTGTCCTTTTGATTTGTATTAAAAAGGTAAAAAGAAACATGACACGGGTATACCACTATTAGAGATCAAACGGACATGTCTGAGGTGCAGTATATAAAAAGGTGATTTGTTATTACACTAATTCGGAATCTGGCAATGGAATCAAAAGCTATTGAAAATTGATTTTATTTACCATCAGATCCATTCTAAGTAGACGGGTTAATTTAACGTCTCAAAACTAGATCAATATACATGTGGGAAGGATAGTATGTGTGTTGTAATCCAACCAACGGATTTCTTTCATGTCACTTTTATCCCATTAACCAACAATAGTTCGAATAAGTCGGGGCAAAATTATTGTATTTGTTGAAATATATTTTTCAAAAAGAAAATCCATGCACCAAGAAGGTTTAGTTACAATTAACGGTGTAAACAGACACACGATTAAATCGCAAACATTCATTTACATGTTTCAGAGATGTTATTGGCAGTTTCTCTTGGAATGATACTTACGGTAGAGCTGTACTGACATGTTAACTTTTAGGCTTGTCCGTCTGTCTGTGTCAGTGACGTGGTCAGTCTTGCCGTGATTAAACTACTTAATTAAAACTGTTATCTGTTATATTTCTAAAGTGAAACCGAAAAACTCAAAATGTAGCTCTGAAAAGAGTCGGACATTGACATGTCATCTCCAATAGTTTTTGGGGTGTCTTAAAGATCACATACAACGCAAAACACAACTTTGCAGATTCTGATACCTTTCGATATGGAGTAACAAATTGTCAAAAATGCAAATTCAACTTATAAAGTTGAAAAATAACACGATTAAAAAAACCTCGCGAAATCGGAGTTCAAACGATTCACTAATTTCACCCCAGCGCTGGGGTGAAAAGTTGTTTCAACAGCTGTGCTTCATTGCGCCCATAGCGCATGCGCAGTGATTAGGTTCGCGCGGCTCGAACCGGGAAGGCGACTCGTAAAAAAAAAGCACGTGATGCGTGCAAGGATTATCGCTGTGGTCGAAGTTGGAGAACAAAAGATGTTTCTTGTGATTACAAGCATCTTTGGTCTGCAGTAATAAAAATACACTGGTCCCATACTTTTTCTTATATGTTTTCACATCTTGCTTTTGGCTTTTTTTCAAGAAAGTGTAACATTAGAAGAACTAATTTGTCTGTTAAAAATTGCTCAGCTTGAAAACTGAAATGTTTTAATACATGTCTATGGAAACATAGAAAAATATGTTGATTGTGATAAGCAGTCTCTGTCACAGACAAAACTCAATGTCTGTTTTATTGACACCTATGTGTCTGCCTGCCTATCTGCTAATGACAATATGCAATACACAGCTTCAATCATTGACCACATGCAATTTGAACTTGAAACGTATCAGGCTATACACCATAAACAAAATACATTGATTTATGGCTCGTGCACCTGAGTTCTGTCTCTGTCACACTATTGAATTACACAGACAGGCTGGTGTGATACTTGTACACATGTCATGTTATTATGTCTGTGGAGTTGCAAACAAACTGCATTCATTTATCTCGGATGACTGGATCGGACGGAAACCGGTGCAAACTCAGGTTGTCAGTTTCAAGTCCTGCTTTGTACTTGGACGAACGACAATTTCGAGCCACGCATCATCTCATCATCTCGAGCGCAAATGCTGAAATAATGTATTTACAAAACCGAACATCTCTATATACACACACACTCGGTGTATCGGCAAATGAACCAGAAAATGAAAACCTTCGTTACACTTGACTGCACACTCACCCGCTCTGACTGGGTTCGGTCTCCGGGTGCTTCGTTTCGAGGGAAGTAAACCCAAGTACAAAATATTGCACTTTTGATTTGCGATTGTACGCTTATAATTTTGTTTATTTGTTTTTCATAATCAGCAATGTATATTATATGTCATGAATAAGTGATCATTGTGTTTTAATTATGTTTGTATTTTTGGTTGCATGTGACCTTTAACATTCAGTAGATGTTCACATCATTATGCTATACAATAATTACTTATCAGGAATGTACTTACTATGGGATGTAAACATTAGTGTTCAAGTTGTAACAGGTGCATTTGGTGTCATGGTCATATGGAATCCCCAAGAACACCTATCTGTTAATCCAGCGCGGATAGAATATTCTGGAAGAAATCTGCAACCACACCACATCAGGACCAGCGATTGTATGGCAATCATATCCAGGAAATCCAGCCTATTTTGGAAGTTTTACCTATTTGTGTTGGTGTTGCTACTAATTTACACTTAACTGTTCTTACCACTGCTGTTATATTTCATGATGCCGTTGTAAGTGTAAATTGTGTTCTTCCACTCTATTCTGTGCAGTCATTGCACCTATTCTTCCGTAATGTGGATTCATTTCTGAACCTATTTAATTTTAAAATGAGCTTCTTTATTGTATAACACTTCTTTGCTGTTAGTTGGTTTCAGTCTGTATGTTTTTTGTTAACTTAAAGATATCTGGGTTACCTTTAATTTAATTTTAAAGTTAGAAATTAACGCGTGGCAATGGATGTGCCACAACGTCCTGTCCTGAAGGGATATGCGGTCTCAGGTATCTAATTATATTGCAAGAGCCGACAAATGAGGGCCAGGTGGTCACGCTGGATACACCAGCTGATTGCTCGTGACATTTTAGATTGTTCTGATCATTTCTGTGATGTTTGCAATAAAGTTTTTGGCACTTGAAAACGAATATCCTAATCCTATCACACGTTCTTAGATACACACAGGGAGTTCTCATATCG